TTCAATCAGCATTTGCCTTGTCATATGTTTTATACAGTGTTTTGTCATAACTGGCTTGGTGACTGCTTAGTCTTCAGTCTACTTGCCTTTTTTAATAGCTGCAGTGTACTGATTTGAATAGGTTAAATTATATATCTCATTTGTAGAAAACAGTTGCTTTTTAGGTGCAATTAAATTATCAGAATTGTTACTTAGGGTGAACAAATGAAGAACAGGGCAGAGAACAGCAGGGGAAACAAAAGGACAAAGCCCTCATTAAATTTATATATAAAAAAGTCAAAAGCTATTTGTACAAAAAAAGTAAGAAGGATGATTGTGCATGGTAATGCTTTCCATGGGTTTCATTTTAGACTGATAATGGTTAGTTGTCAAGAAATTGAAGAATATGCATCCAGTTCTTCAAGCTGCAAAATGGATTGCAAAATCTCACAAAATTTCCTTTAGGCCTCTGCATGTTTCCTTTAGGCTTTCTATAGAGTTAGTAAATTGAGACGAAGGGAAGGTCGTAGTGGAGCAGCCCTAGCAAGGCCAAGCTGGAGACGAGAAGAATATATCCAGCCTGTTGCCTTTAGGTCCATCACTTGTGGTGGCCTCTCTATTTGTTTGCTGGCCTCTACTTTCTGTTGACCTGGAGGTTCTGTTGCAAATTGGCAGTTGTAGGAGCTGAAGTGTTGCCCTCTTGGCAGTGCATTCAGTGCTAGATGCCAAGCAAAGAACAGACCAGGAAAATACTTTTCATTTGAGTACCCCATCCTAAAGGAGTATAGTCCTCTGTTAAGAGAGAAAAAACATAACTGGGTGGGACTTTCAAAAAATAGCTATCTCCCTTAATATGTGTTTGAAGCTTCAAAATTCTTTCAGGATCCAACCCTAAAAATCTAATGAAATCAAGTCACAGCAGAGTAAAATAATAATAAAGTGTCTTGGATTTCCCCCAAAATGAAAAGCAGCCATTTGTGTTTCTCTCTGGCCCCTATCAAATCAACATATGCATGTGAATTTCTGTAGCTCCTTTCTGTGGATCAGACAGAATATTGTTACTCCAAGAGAGCTCTGAAAATAGCACGGATTTTAATTCTTGCTTTCCTTTCTATGAGATCACCAAACCCCAGCGGAACTAGCAATCCTGTTGTTTTTGCTATGCTCAGCTGTGTTGTTGTATATGATACAAAATGTTTGAGATCTGTACTGTTTAAATGTTTTTTCATACAGATAAATAATAAGAGTGGAAAAATGAAAATGAAAAAGGGAAAGTTAAAAATCATTTACTGAGTGCAGGGAGTTCACCACAGGGGAAACAGAGAGCTCTCTGAACATTAGGTTTCTCCATATACAGAACACCAGGTTCTTATCAGGTATTTTTGCATGTTGTGCATTTTTGTAGGTCAATCAAGTATATTCACGAGATGTGAAAGTTTTATGTGATTGAGCTATGAAAGTAGTCTAGGGAATTTTAGAGATGAGATGGATAGCTTCATGTGTATGTTTTCTTTCCTCATCTTTATGTGGTATTTCTCCTGCGAGGTGATCAAGCAAAAGCCTCCATTGCCTCCTTGCTCTAGCTTTGCCTACTGTGCCATAACTTTAACTTTTTTTTTCTTTCCATTTTATTTTCAATATGGGTGAAGGGGAAATTCTGGGTACACATCTTGCTTGAGGTTGTTAGTAGGTAATATTTTCCACGATCCAAGCCATTATGTATTGTTCCAAAATCCTAGGCATATCTCAGAAGTTGAAGAAACCTTTTAAAGGAGTTGAAAGTTAATTGTTATTTCTATCTTATGCTCCTTGCACAGATAGCAAAAGAGCTTTAAAATAACCCAATCATTTGATGGGAAAAAATTACTATTATCTCTGATTACTGTGTTGTGTTGGGAATCTCACACATGGGTCCTAGTGGGTTTAGAGGCAGTGCTTTAAAATGCTGCTGTGCCCAGCTGGAGACTTGTCCTTTGCTGAAGTTGATCATTCTTATCCAAGGCAAATGAAGAGGTCGATGTCTGTACGTATGACAGTGTTTTGCTGAAACCTTTCTTTATGAGTAGAGTGAGAGGAGTTTGAGTAAAATGCTAGACTGCAAACTGAGCAGGAAGGGAAATGAGAGACATGGCCATGCTGATAACCTTCTACAGAAGAACCTGAGTGCTATTAACAGGCAGTCACTATTTAAACTATTGCAGCTTAATCTTTTTCTATTAGAGCCCTTATTGTATGGGTTTATTTTTGTTAAGAGATGACTCAGATCAACAAACTATTAAACTAATATGGAAATTTTTGAGTTGACGGTAATTATGGCATGTGTCATCATCAGAATAGAAGAACTGATAAAGTAATTTGGCTAAAACGTAGGAGGCAGGTTCAATTGCTGGCTTTAAATCACATTACTAAGACCATTGATGGATCATATGTTCCTAATTCTTCTTCTAAGAGCAAATAGTCTAAATATTGTAGATATGCATGTGTTTATGTCACTTTGAAACACATTAATAATGCTTATGAATATATTGTATTGCAAATTATTGCAAATACTGCACAAATGCACCTTTGCTTCTGGCTTTCTTAGTTGCTCTCTGTCTACCTTTGTGATTTTTGACTATAAAAGTATTTCCTCTTACCATTTCAGATGATTCTTGATTCTAGAGGATTTAGTTGGGAAAGGGAACATAGGTATTACCACTAAAATTAATAGAAACATAACGGAGAGAAACTTATAAGTAAGGACCAGTGAAACTGAGATGGTTACTGGCCTAGTTCCATTCAGACTTGCAAATAACATTGTAAAAGTCAATTTCTTTGGGTAGGATTAACAGCTAGCCCAGTTGTTCTACCATCTCTCATAAACCAGATACTGCACAAATGCACCTTTGCTTCTGACTTTCTTAGTTGCTCTGTGTCTACCTTTGTGTTTTTTTGACTATAAAAGTAACAGTATTTCCTCTTACCATTTCAGATGATTCTTGATTCTAGAGGATTTAGTTGGGAAAGGAAACATAGGTATTACCACTAAAATTAATAGAAACATAACAGAGAGAAACTTATAAGTAAGGACTAGTGAAACTGAGATGGTTACTGCCCTACTTCCATTCAGACTTGCAAATAACATCGTAAAAGTCATTTTCTTCAGGTAGGATAAACAGATAGCCCAGTTGTTCCGCCATCTCTCATAAACCTTTTTTTTTTTTTTTCTGGAGATTTAAAGCGTGGTGTGCAGGATGCTGGCTTAGACTTGCATTGCTTGCTCTGCCTCTCCTTTCCCTTCTTCTCCCCAAGTGCCTTGTTGTCACTTGTTCCACATTCAAGTCAGCTGAGCAATATCGATTTGCAACAAGTGCAGACTGATTCATTAAAGTCAATGCTAAATGTGGCCTGATTTAAATGTTAAAGAGCACTGTCCGTTATATGCAAGGGTGTCAAAGTGGGTAGTGTAGCTTATTTTTCCCTTGTATTCAGAATAGATGTACTTTTTTTTTTTTACAAATGACTTTCAGTACTTAATAGCATACAGTGATTTATTTGTACATCCAAGAAACTGCATAGTGCAGTTTGCTCATATTGTAAAAATATTTACTGATTTAATTCACACCTGTTAAAATGTAACATGAGCTACAAAATTCTCCTTATTTTGGCCCTTGGAACAGTCTAGCGTATCCCAGGGTGTGACTGCCACTTTTAATTGCATCCTAAACAACAGACTTTCTAGAACTTGAGAAACAGTGATTGCTGAGCTCTGCATGCATGAAAAAAGAAATATCGCAGCCGTTATCATCATTACTTAACTAAGTATTTCTGTTATCCTTTAGTTACATTCAAACTTGACAGTCAGACTACCATTCGGAGTGTCAGAAATGGAATATTATCTGCAAAATGAATTGCTATGTTAAAATCATTGTCACTTAGAAGAACTCAGAATGTCCTTTTTTATGTGAGATATTTTATATAACTGGCAATTTAATCTTGTTTCCTATGATTCATATAATTATACTTTCTGTGTGTGTGACCCCGTAAGTTTTAAAGCCAACGGCTAAATTTTAATCAGGTTTGATCTTAGAAGTAATTCACTGCAGAAAAAGCTGCATGTGCCATATAAGAAAAACCTCATCTGGAGGTCACACCTTCTTAGATATTGAAGTCAAGTAGCCATTAGGCAGAAACCCATAAACGTTTTTTAACTCTGACACTCAAAACTATTGATGCTTAGAAAACGATTTAGATAAATAGTTTAACAGTTTTGGTTCACCAAAAATGCTTTATATCTATTCAAAGCATGGGTCTTGCAAGCAGAAATTATTGAAAGTGGCTTAGGAAATGGTGTGCTTATAACAAGTTTTTTGATTCAAGTGGCCCAAAAAATATTTAAATTACAAAATTTAAAAATTCCTCTTTTGGGACTTCTACATTTGGTAAACCAAAAATGTCATTTTTTAAAAATGAGAATTAAACAGAGAAATTAAATTGAAGATTTTTTCTTTTGATTGAACACAGTTGTGCTGATAGTGTGATTTTTTTTTTAAATCACCCAAAGTGGCTCCAATCTCACTTGTAAGTTTTACAAAACCCAATGTAGATTTTTTTTGGCAAAATTTTCAAGGGATAGCATAGAATAGAAATGCTGATGAAGGATGAAAGTTTCCACATTGGTCACCATAGTGCTGGTTGTAGAACCAAGTCATTTTCCAGCCCTAGGAGAGGCCGCTAGGTTACAACCACAGGGAGATATTTTTTTACACACACCAGACCTGTGATGTCAGGTCACCTCCTTTTGTCTGCACATCTTTAATCAGATCATCTGTTGAAGAAAAAAGTATTTTTTTCATAGAGCTTACTGTGATTGCAAACTGATCTGCTGTTTCTGCATCTTTAGTGCCTTTGCCTTTGTGCCAGCTGTCACTTGTAGTATTTTGCTAATACCAAATAATGCAAAATATTCTTTCTTTTAGTACTTAATAGGATGTAGTATAATGAAGATAAATGGTACATAACACCTTTTACCTGTGTTCTAGGAAAATGAACTGAAGGATGCTGTGCAAGAAAAGAATCGCCTGAGCCTTCAGTATGCAAGTGTGTCCCACAAAGCACTGCAGTATGACCAGGTAACATCACATGCAGTCATGTCTTGTAGAAATCAGGCTGCAGAGTGATAAAAGTAGAATGTACAGACATATATTTTTGCTTGTTTTTTTCTTGAATACACAAAATACATCAATTACAATAGTTTACAAAAAAAAATTATGAACAAGTTTTACTCTAGATTTTAAACCCACTGATGAGCTTTATAGGGAAATATTTTTTATTTAACACTTTATCTTTTTCTTGCCCTCTGCATTTTTCATATGCATTTTTTATTTCTCTGTAAAATGTAGAAATGCTGATTTTCAGCCTTGTGTGTCCAAAATTGTCATTTCCTTTGCAGCATGGCAGGTGGCATAGCTCCTTGTGGCTGCTATTCCACGTCCTCTTAGAAAATCTGCTTTTATAGGAAGAATTTTTTTTGTACCTGTTACAGGACCAAATCTATCTTTCTGACTGTAGTGATAATATCCGTGGCAAAAGCTGCCTGGCGTGAGCAGGATGTCAGACGGTGCTGGTGTCTGTTACCTTGCCACATATGCACACGGTGGAAGGAAGAAACATCGTGAACCAGCCACTTTTCAGGGCTGGCTAAAAATAAAGCTCCAATCTGGGATTTCTGCAGGGTTTGAGTGAGTTGCTCAGCAACCCCATTCACATCAGAAGAGCCGTAGCTCACACAGGCCCTAGTGAAAGCCCATCCCCAAAAGGCACAGAACACAGTGATAACCGCGTGTTTTGGTATCTCTGGTGTGCAGGAGGCGTGGAGTGGCCTCGTGATAAAACTCCAGACCAAAGGAGGTCTTAGTTAGTCCCCAAACAAACAGGGCAAATTGCTGAGATCCAGAAGTGGTGATGCAGCTACCCTACATTTTGTGCATAGCACCTCATGCCCAGGCGTTTCTGGTGTTTTCTGTTTCAGGTTTAGGGAAGAACATAAATTGGTTTTATATAAATAAACAGTGAAAAAACGTTTTATGATAGATGAAAACCATGTGGAACATGGCATCACTTAGTTTTATTCCTCCATCTGTCGAGAATTTCTCCCTCTCCTAATGCTTTTCTCATCTCTTTACTGCTGCGTATACATCACACTTAGTGTTTACTTCTCGAGGCACATGAGGATAAGGAACCTTACCCAGGGAGTTTTGCATTCCAGCTGACACAGATATAACATGTAGTATTAATGCAGTGAAAGCTCAGTGTGCTCTTGGCACTAGAAATGTTTGCCCTCTTTTATTATCAAAGACGAGGAACTATACAATATATTTTATTATAGATAGAGTCTGTCTCTTGCTCATATAGAGAATTTGAGATATGTTGAACAATCCAGTAAAAACAATTCAAAATTGAAGAAGTGAAATGTCAACCTAAGAGAAAATAGTAGTAAAATTACCTTTTACTATTATGTGGTCAGAATTTGTCATATTATGGATGTTTCTTTTTTCAAATATATGAAAAATCTCTGAAAGGCTCTTTGCAATAGTTGAGGGTTCCTGCACTATTTAGTATCATAGTCTCGATAGGATCAATGACTTCCTTTATGTACACCCTCTTGCCTTTGGCAACTTTAAAAATAGGCAAGAGAGGAGGATCTTTGCATCATACTTTATTTTAACAAAACTGCGCTGGATGGCAGAGCAGGTGTTTTGAGAGAATGATTTGCATTTTTTTTATCACACGTAGAATGAGGTTGAAGATAGATTCTTTGTGCATTTCAGGTTACTTTGTCCTATTTCAGAAGGTGTGAAACTACAAAACTACTGCAGGTCAAAGTTGCAGAAGAGTTCTGGCAGAGGGAGAAAGCGCTGGAAGGGAAAACCTACCCAGAAATATTTGTTTATTTTCCTCAGTGAGGACTGTTTTAGAAAAAACAGGTCCACTTTCTCCAAATGGGGTTACAGGAGTGTGTATTCTATCACACAGAACAGGCAAAACTATTGCTTATTTATTATACAGCGCAGTTGCTCAAATTTGACCATAGAGAAGAGCAGGTACAAGGAGCTGTTTAAATCCTCAAAATAAAGATTAAATTGCGTATCAGTGAAAGAAAGCTGTATTTGACACATGAAGAAATTGTGTTCAGTGTTTGGCTGATAGAACATTTCACCAATGAAATAAACTGCTGGCTTGTTTTTCTGATAACTAATTCAAATTTTGGAACGTGGAAGACACTTTAGCAATGTTCTGGCCTTCACAACGGACTCAGATAAGGGCAAATTTAATAAGTGGAAGCTATGGCTGGAAAGGAAATTGGTCAATGCAGTAAACAGATAATCATCACAGATCAAAATATTTCCTGTATTTCTTTCATTAGATTAGATCTGTTTAGGATGACTCTCTATTTAGGTCAACTTTTTTGCCACTGGGAACTTTGATATTTTGATGTGTTCTACGTGTAATTTAAGTTCATGTATCCCCATATATTCTTAAACAGTTTGCTGGAGCGATCATTCAATTTGTATTTAGTGACAGTTTTTTGTATAAACATAAGTAAGCACATGATAAATTTTCAGATTTTATGCTGCTTTATGCATTCTATACTTTTATCACTGTTTTGTTTGTGATATGGAGTCTTCAGAAGGAGAAGGTCATGACAAGCATGTCCCATAGAAACACGAAGAGTCCGAAGTATTGCTATATGTAAGTAAGGCAGTTATTGGAAGGCAGTTGTTCCTAAGCTCCAGCTAATGTAGCTGCTGTGCTTTGAGATCCTGGGTGAAAGATCTACCCATCTGTAATTCATATATTTTTTGACCTGCATCAGCAGTCTGTAGGTACTATTTGTAACCCACAGCCCCTTAACTGTCAATTGGAAAAAAAATGCATAGCAGAAAGGTAGCATGCATATTAGTTCCCCAAAATATTTGGGGTACAATGACCAGTGAGTTTAGAAAATGTTATATGAAGGTATTATATGAAGTTATATGAAGTATTAGTTGGTATCACCTATTTTAAAGACAGGAAAAAATGAATTTTGAGGAAAGTAATTTTTTATTGAAACTTGTTCAAAACCTTTGTTTTCATTCATTTTCAGTAAATCAGCTGAGAACCACAGCCAAAGTAAACCTGGGTTGTTGATGGCAATACCTCATTGCTTCATTTTTGCGCTCCATTATTCTCCAACAATCTATATTGAATGATCTGAGCAGCAGAATACAATGCAAAGGATGCAGGAAGTTAATACATTCTGAAAAGCCATTGTTTAACAGTGTCCTTGGCTTTAAAGAAATGTGGGAAAAGGAAAAGAAAATGTGTAGAAAAAAGTCCTGAGGTTGACAATAATTGCATCAGTTCTTGTGGAAAACATGATTTGTTCCATTTTCCTCTTTTTTTTTCTTTTTTTTTTCTTTTTTTTTTTCTAGTCCATTGCACTCTAAAAAGCTCCTTACAAAGATGAATACTAAGGCTGGCTGAAGCAATTTAGATTGTTTGGTCCACAGCAGAATTTTCAAGTTAACAAACTAGAGCCAGAAGGCAAATAGAAAGGCTGAGCTAGTTTCTAAAAGGTCCCTTTGGAAAATCCTCAGGAAATACTGGGATTGGAGATTGCTTAATGCTCTGAGTTCTTAAAAATATATATAAATAAATAATTTTGCTGGTTAAATGAAAAAAAAGGAATTTCTCACTTCCTTGACTGAATTGCAAAGGAAAGATGAGCTGCATAGAGGTTAAAGCCCTGAGATCTTGCCATTTTTTTCGTATTTTCATTTACACATGGAGAATTGTTTATGTCAGCTGTGCATTTCCCTGTGTTAATTATCTGAATCACACTTTTATTTTTCTAGGTGAAATCAGACTATGAACATCTTAGAGAAACCCTTATTAGAGTGACCAAAGAACGAGATTTGGCTGTAAAGGAAAAACACCAGCTCCAAGCCAAGCTGGAGAACTTAGAGCAGGTCCTAAAGGTTGGTATAATGCTGTGAATTTCAAATACCCAGTATTTCTATTACTTGTTTAATACTCACATTGTATGGAATACAGTACACAAAGTATCTGTGAGGCATCTTAAACCAGCAGGAAGAGAGAATATATATTTGGAAACCTTTATCAACAACTAGTTGTAGGATTTCACTCTGCAGCTAGTTACTGGCTGCAAGTCAAGATGAGAAGAAAAGGATGAGAAGTGACTGCTGATGAAGGAAATAGGAACAGCTTTTGAAATATTTCACTTTAGAGAAGACTCTATCCCCTGGCCTGGCTTGATAGAAAGTGTCACTTTGTGGTCTTGTGAAACAAGCTGTTGGTCACAACTCCTACAACCTGTGTAACCTATGTAGAAAGAAAAAAAGTGGGAAAAAAGTTCTAATGGTGGGAAGGAAGAAGCGCTTTTATAGGAGACAGCCAAATTCCCAATTCCCAGTAACTTGATAAACCAAACCTGACCAATGACGACTAATGGTGAGGACTCTAAAAGGTTCCTTGGAGACAAAAAGCTGGTGCCCAGTGTGATGGGGTAGAGGGAGACAGAAACAGAGAGGAATGTGATATGGTGGAAACACAAACTGGTTGGAATGGGCAGCTATTCCCGATTCCCTTAGTTGTAGCAAATATGGAAGCTGTGACACAAAAATTGCCACAAAAATGCCTTGACAGCTAAGGTTCAACAGCTAGGGTTATGCAGAAGAAAAAAAAACCTAAATACTGCTAACGGATATCCATGAGGATATCCAATTATCTTTTATACAATACGCACAGCTGAGAAATATCTACAGCCAAAAATAAAAAAAAATCTTTGATAAACTCCTCAGAAAACAAACTACAACTGAGAGTCAAAACTATAGAGTTGAAAGCATCTTTGGTGAAGTGGGTTTTTTTTTTTAGCCAACACATCAAATGAAAACTCCAAGTAGAGCTTAAATGGAGTATGGGAAACATTTCTATTTCCTTTGCAAATGTGCTGAGATGGAGAGGAGCAAGCCTCACGCTACTGCCTCTCTTTATTATTAATAATGTGTCGCACAGAATAACGGCTCATTAAAGGTTAGCAATAAATATGCTCGGGTAAAATATTCTCTTGTACGGGATACCGGGTATTTTGGCTTTAGTCCATTGCAGCCATGGATTTGTGTTTCCAAGTGCTGATTCTTGATAGGTTTCTACGTAATAACCCTGGTGCTGCAGATAAGGAATTGTGCTTCTGCTCTGAGAGTATTATGGGATGAATTTGGAAAATAAAAATCTTTAATACCAGCCTCACCAGGGAGGAGATCAAAATCTGTAAAGAGCTCTTGCTTAACTCCCATTTATTAAACAGAGTGTTTGAAAGAATAATGATACTGGGCAGAATAATATTAACTTGTAATGAAAAATACCTTTATCTCCAAAGGGTATCTTGACACTGTTCAGCTCGTACTCCTAAGAACTTTGCCTCATACTGCTTTGAATCATTAGTAGCAAGTGTTCTTTAAAAGTTGTTTTTCAGTACTGTGTAGTAACTTCTATCCAAATCCACCCCTTTTAATTTTTTTCTGTGTTTTTTGTTCTATTATCGATTTTCAATAGTAAGCAATTTCTTGGGGGTCATAATTTGCAACAAAAATCTCAAAATCACATCCTGAACAAAAAGTCAGTGAGGAATTTGTCAAGCCAATGGTTTTCTGAGATTTAATTTTTCAGCATAACACCATATATAAGTGTAAGAATACAATAGGAGCTGCTCAGCTGCCCATCACGGAGGCCACGTTGCTAGCAATGATGAAGTCATATCTCTTAACAGAGATTATTACCAACATGCCTGAGTTTCACAGGAACAATACGTCTCTAAGGACTGTCTGAATTGAAATCCTACCCAGTTTGCCTTTTGCCTATCAGTGAAACCGGAGAGTTTTTAGGTTGAGATGAGCGTTTGCCTGTTGGCGTCTCCTCATAGTTTGGTCTTCTTCCCTTGATACAGCATATGCGAGAGGCTGCTGAACGGCGGCAACAGCTGGAGTTGGAGCATGAGCAAGCCTTGGCTGTCCTCAACGCCAAACAGCAGGAAATCGAGCTCCTGCAGAAGGTAAGGGGAGATGGGGGAATCAGGAGAAACGGCCAATCCCACGGATGGAGCACAGGGCAGATCCGTTAGTTTAAAAGTAGTCCAAAGGTACCAAACCGTTTCCTACCTGCCAAAACAAAAATCCCATTCTAGCTAGAAATGGGTCTAGATGTTGTTTGCCTTAACCATAAAGTTCCACTTGGCCAACTGAAGTCTTCCTTTTTATTTTCTGTAAAGTTTTTAAAATCAACCTACCTAGGGATATTTAGGGATATTCCAAAATGCTACGTTTTTATCATATTCAGATATCTTTACTTCTGTGTAAATTTCGGACTTTAATTTCTTGGCAAAACATGAATGTTAATCAAAGAAACATACAGCTTTTGGTCTTGCTTATCTTTATTACAAACTTCCAAATCCAAAAAAATGTGGGTCTCTGTTACAGATTGGTGATTGGAATCTAGTCTTTCTAATGCTATATTTTCCAGTGTTTTTTGCTAAGCTTTAGCAAGATAGACTTTTTACAGTATCAAGGAGGTTTTATATTTGCTATTTTACTGAGTATAAACACCTGAGTGTCTAAAGCCAATGATGAAATTCTTTTCAGTGGATCAAAGTTCATTTATGTTAAAATCCAAGATCACTTATGTTGAAAATTATTAATCATTTACCACCAAGTTTATCACTTCTGGCTTAGAATCGCTGTACTGAAAGGTATTGTAGCAATTCATGCATTACTAAGAAGCATTTGAGAAATAATTCATCCTTCTTTCTGATTTTCTTCATTAGCCTGAAACTTTCCTCCCAGTGCTTCGTGCCGAAATTCATTTTTGCCTTGAAACACCTAATTCATTATGTGATGAAGTTGCTATTTTGTCTTATTATTGCCTTTCGTGATAAGGATCTGTGATAACTTAAACGGTTGTGCTACCCATTGCATCTCTTGAGAAAATCTGCATGTATTACTCATTTTGAATAGTTCTCAAAAAGAAGAAAGACCTCTTTTTCTAGTTTTGATTTTCAGGCCTTTCAAGCTCCATTTCTTTTCCCTTCTGTCAAGTCGCAGCAGGATCTCAGCTTGGTTGAAATGCCTAGTTTCTTCTATAATACCGTTAATGTAATAATAACCTTAAGGAAAGCATTCAAGATACTAAAAGATTACAGGGAAAGTCTGTATTTTGTGCTGTTCTACCTTGTACCAAGGCGGGTACCAAGCTAGCTCGTAGACCTGCAGTAGTCTGCACATGGTAGGTGGACACTGAGAGTAATTTATCCTGCTTCTTGTCTCTGGTGTTCAGAGCATCAGCTTTCAACCTTATAATGGAGTATATATTGAGAGAAAAGTCATTTAAATATATCAGTTACCTAGGTAACTGTGATACTCTGATTCTGTCATTAAACAGGAATTATTGGCTCATACTTCATCCTAATAAGTGCTGCGTTATTTTTTTTCCCCCCTTTTATTGGATTTATCTAATTACTTGAAAAGGGACTGTGAAATGAAACTGGTTTCTCTAGTAATAACAGGATGGCATTCAGCAGTATATCTTGTTACCATCGCAAAGTCGCTGATGACCCACAGTAACGTGCACTTTAAAACAAGATCAGTCTAATGCATTTGTTGTCCCATTTTGATATACTAAATAAAAATCATCCTGCGCACGCATGTATCCCCATCAGATTGTTTAGATTTTCACCGTAAAAAGAAGAACATAATATTGTTCGTCCTGGTTGTGTGTTGATAAGGTTTCAGATAAAGGTGTTTTTTCGTTTTCTTCAAGAAAGCTTTAATACAACAGTTCGATGAAAAAGGGAGATAGCTATTGATACAGCTTCCCTTAGCATTTATCAAGAGCTCGAATGTTGGGTAGATTTTATTAAACTTGTAATGATGGATAACACAAGGGTTTCTATTACCTGTCATCATATACTTGCCAGTGTTTCTGGAACCAAAACTCCTCTTTACATTATACAACCTATCTTCCAGGGTGTTACCAGCTATTTAGTTAGTGCAGTACCAGTATCTATTAGCTAGGGCCTGAATCTAACTTTTGGGTCACTTTTTCCTAACAGGTATTGTGAGCTTCTACTCTGTGAGTCTTCGGGAATATAACCTAGCAAAAATAAACAGCTTATTTTTCACTTTTGGTTTAGAGGGTTTCAGAATTGCTCAAGGTGTGTTCATGCTTGTCTGGTTCAACAAAACACTGAAGGAATTAAACTTTAGTGAGATTCGATCTGTCTCACTGTCCTATTTTGATGGCTTGGAAACCAAAGTGTTCTATTGTATTGATGGATGCAGCACTTGAAGACTGTAAAAGACTTTGGTCTGAGTGCACAGTATGCAGCTGTATGTGATATGAGCACACTATATGTGGCCTAACTGATTTTTTCTTTTCTTCCTAAATGATAAAAACAAGGCTCAGGTTGAAGCTAAGAAGGAACATGAAGGAGCAGTTCAGTTGCTAGAGGTAAGAAGATCTTCTTTGTATTATCTGTAGTTATGGGGGATCAATTCCGAACATGCTATCATGACAGTATAATCACTTCTGATAGATTAAAGTAATATGCAAGCAAATTTGTGTAATGTTTAATGTCATCTTTAAAAGTTTGCAGTTATGACTGTATTGAACTGGCTCTTGGAAGCGACATTTCTGTACCTTGGCTTCTCTTTGTATAAAATGAAAATATTTAAACCATTTGTTGTCAGCTTCTATCAGATGAGTAAAAAGGAAGGGTTTTTTCATGAAAATCATTATAGTTTAGACTGCATATATTAAGTTTGCAAGCTGCAAATACTAATCAGTTACCCAAGGTTCCTTATTAGGTATTGTCTAGTAAAAATAAAGCAATATATAATATAAGGAGCCAAGATTTTTTCATGCTGAAGACAGAATTGAATTGCCTACTTTGAGATACTTTAAAAAGGTCCCAACAGACAGCGAACACTGGGACTTGTTATTGGAAAACTAGATCTTTTCCAGAAGTCCTAAACTGGTCATTCACAATAAAAGAGCACCAAAAATATATTCTAATTTTTAATGAGAATCATTGAATAATCATGGTTGGAAGAGACCTCTGGCCATCCGATCCAACGCCCCATTCAAAGCAAGGCTCATTTCAAAGTTACTGTGGGTTGCTCAAGGCTTTTTCCAGTCCAATTGTAAATAAATATCGATAAGACATAGACAAGATCATTCTGCTTATTGTGAAGAATATTATTCTTGCATCCTGTTATAGTTTTTCCTGATCCAACCCATGCCTAGTGGTGTCATCTATTTTAATGTTTTCCAGCTGTACGGCAATGTGTTTTTAGATTTTTACAGTGATTTACTGCATTAGATAAGTAAACACTGCTAAATAAATTTTCTTTTGGAGAGATGATTTAGATAATCAGATTTATTAATTTTTAAAGCACTAATTACCTGCCCAAACTGACTAAGGCAACATGATCCATAAAAACAGAGAAAAAAATAATAATAGTTTCACTGGTAATTACTATATCAATTACAATCTTGGCACCGGGCATTTCCTGGTGATTAATTAGTGGTTGTTTTTATTGACCTTACATCACATTTCAAGCCTTCCTTCAAAATCATCATTAATCCTAAGGGAAAATCTGGAAATTTAATCTTTTGTGCCTGAGGATACACAGTGCCTTGTTTCTGGTAGACATGACATGAAGAATAGAAGCAAGCTCTACTCCCATTCAAAATCCACTAGCTTTGCTGTCAGTTCTAGTTGGAATAGGCCAAGGTTTGCAAAACCTCTTTTTCTTAGGCTGAAATTTCAGTTTTAAAATCAGTACCTTTATAATAATAGAATCTTTATACTAGATGCATATACTTAAGATTAAATATATGCATGCAACCACATTATGATAAATGAATACACTTGACTATTTGCCTGATTCTGACAAAACCTTTTATTCCCTTCCCAGTCTGCTATTTAGAAATGCAAACTGACATGCAATGTTGTGCAAAATAGGACAAGTGACAACCACATATAGAGCAAATTAGAAATCCAGTAAGAGGGTTCCTAAAGCAAGAAATTCTGCCCCATCATTTCTAAACTAGGCTCTACAGATTTTGTGTCACTTTCCAGTCATATAATTTAATGTGCTTGGATGAGGTAAAGTGTCAGATAATACAGACAGACCAGAAGACATCATGCAGATTTTGCTTTGTTCTTTTTACTATCACTTTTATTTTATGCATAGTAGATTGATAAATACCAAAATATTTTTTTTTCTGTCTGGGGGGGAAAAAAATTAAATAGTATTCATAAGATAGTATATAATAAAGAAGATGTAATATCATGGATTGACTAAATCAAGAACCTTCTCAATATTTCTTTTAGAAATGTATTTTAACAAAAAATAATTTTTAATCTTTTTCCTTTTGTTATTTCCACCTATGGAAATCAATATTAACACAAAAAGTCTTTTTCTTCATATGCTTTTATTATAATATATATTAAGTTTTCCTTGCCTTTAACAATGTAATATAATTATTTAATACCTAATGCAAAGTATATGATGCAAGAAGATATAAGTAGAAACAAAACAGTGATTATTTACCCCTCTCAAGCTAATTTAAATTCCTGTTTAACTGATTTGTCTGCTTCTTCTGATTTGCATAACTCCATCAAAGTTTCTTAAGCTTTTGCCTTTTACTGCCATAAGCCTATTAATTTTTAGCATTTTGTTTTATTTAATCTGCCTTTCGTGATTCAAAATCAGCAGCAGTATTGATTTCTGAAGCATTCTATAGTGGGTTTCTGTTAATGCATGTTTCTACACTTATTAACTGTTTCAATGGTTTTTTGCTTTGAAATGTTAAAAAAGTGTTCAAAACTGTTTTTATTTCTTTGTTTATTGCACATCTCTTTGTTTACTGTGTCTTGTTTGGAATTTATTGCTTTGCACTTCATCCAGAACACCTTGGACAGCATGCAGGTATTTTAGGGCATAAATTCTCCTTTCCCTATCCCAAATCCTGCTCCTTTCACTGGAAAATGTGTATGATAGTCCTGCCTTACCTCGCATGGGATGCGTGCTAGAACCATTGTTATGCAAGCATGCTTGGCACTGGTTACTTTAATACCAACTCACCAAAATCCAAAACTTTTTCGACAAATGATTAGTCATATGGCATGATTTAATGACAACTCAGGCTCATTCTTATAAGCATGCCCAGTGAGAATGGTTCAATAGTTTATTCAAGACTGCAGCTTTCAGGCTGTGTGGATTTTGGTCTGAATTCAGATTGTTCCTTGCTAATGCAAAGATAATTTTACATGATATATTCACCTGACGTTGATCCTTGGAGCCATTGCTGCTGCATACACAGATAAACTATGAAATGATAACCTGGCAGCTGAATAAGTGAGCCAATCTTGGTCTGAATTCAGGCTGTCCACCTGGAAAGATGCTCCTCATATTATGTGTCCTGTGTGAACAGTATCTGTATTGTGACAGGTCAAGTCTGCTTCATTTTAGATTTCAGAAGCTGCATTCATCAGAACTGAAATCAGATTTAGATTTATGATTCTGCAAGTACCAGTAATTCAGTACCTAGGAAACTTGTAGGTGTAACAAACTGTTTATCCATAGGAAATACAGTCAATACATTTAAACTGTAGGGATTTTCTGTAGTTCTTATTTCCCAAATAAGTTGGATTTTCATGTTATATTTATGAAGTGAATCCCTGAGTAACTTTTTCTCCCTGATTAGGAAAAATGTCCATCTCATGGTTCTACCTTCATTCCTTCACCTATTACTTTTGATTTGTTAAGAGTCTAGTAGATAACAGTGACATTAGTTGCAATGTCCTACAGCAAAGAGTAGACAGCTGGACCCTTCAACCACCACCAATTAGTCTTACATTTCTTACATAAAAATTGGGAAATGACAAGAACTTTTAAGGAAAAGGGGAAGATGTTGATTGTCTTTCTGGAGAATAATCTGTTGCTTTTTTTCAGGAAGGGTTTCTTGTTAGCAGTGGAATAATTATAAATATCTATGTATTTATGTGTGTTGCCACAGTACTATTTGGATATTACTGTATTTGATCAATATCAGAGGAAACATTCCTCTCTTAAATTTCCCTACAAGATCCTCTATTGTCATTAAAATTTCAGTAAAATTAAACATTTAGCAGCTTCTACCAAGATATCATATTTAGTTTTAAAGAGTAAGGAACTTGCATCTTTGGAAAATCAGATCATTGGAAATCAAATCCACAAAGATTTTTGGTATACACCAAAACCTAGTAAATAGCATCAAGCATAAAGCAACTGTCTTCTATTAGAATAGTACTAAAATCTATTTTTATTCATTTTGTTAACTTACAAATACTACCCTGTTTAAAGCCCACTTCATCTCTCTCATGCGCAGTCACTTTTGCATAAATTTTTTATAAGGCACATTTAAAATATTAACATTAAAGACGTGACATGAAAAGAGAGCACCAGCTACTTAGCTGTATTTAAGTTCTGACTCACAAATCACCCGCGTTCAGTCATGTCAACTCAAAAAATTCCCTAGAAGTCTACTTTGATTTTTTTAGATTCTTTTGTAATGAGAATTTTTTCCTCTTCAAAAAGTCTGTGCCACTCCAAGGTCCCGATACTAAGTTTTAAATAGGATTTTGGTAGTACATGGATATTCTGCTGTTTTTTTGCACTGATTCTGGCTGTTGGGCACCAGTGAAGCAAAAAAGGCTGGGCCTGGGGATGCTTCCTGTCAGTTCTGCTCGAGATCTCGTGGCATTTTTTCCTGTGTATAGTATCAGCCCTGTGCTCACTTCTAAGTAACAACCTTCATTAAAAGAAGCAGTAATCTTTTTTTTTTCCATGCTTCACACTGTCAGACGACAGATTGAAAATAAGGATTTTACTCAACAGAGAAAAGTCAAGGCAAATACTGAAATGCAATGAAGTGTCTTAAATAATAAACAAATAATCTTTCAATAATAATTTTTAAGGCAGTCTTAGCATCTTATTGAAGTCTAGATTATGATGGTTTTATTTTTTTTTCATGCTAGAGTTTCCACAACTGCATATGGAAAGGTCAGTTTATGTTCTTGCGGAGCTGAATAATATCATAGTAAATTTTTGCAGTGGAAAGACAGAATGTAGCAAGAACATTAACTGCTTTGTCTATTTAATGTTCTTTTGAAATCGTACGTAGCTGTCTTATCCAGGAGCAAAGTGACAAGCAGCAAAGGCTTCTATTTTTGTCATTTTAGTGCACAGTGAGAGCATAAAGAAAAAAATAAAGGCATTTGATGTTTGTGTAGTTCCCACGATATCTCTCCATCTTGTATCATTTGTTTTCATAATCAGTCAGATAGATCCAGTGAGACTTTTTTTTACTAAAACTAAATTAATTTGTTGAATGAATAGGAAGAAATTATACCCTCAAAATTCATCATAGCTTTTAAAAATATTACAAAAAAAGAATAAATGATACCACCTTCGGTAGCAGAAAATTTGGATTTTTGTGTCTTCTGAGGGCTACATGGTGCGTTTGTTTATCTTTAGTTGTGTTAAGATCTGTATATTGGTCTTCAGCATTTGCCTCATATGAACTGAGAAAATTTTGCTCTTTCAAGAAAAAAAAAACAAACCTTTTGGTACAGCTGAATGAGTCTAATAGATATCCAGCTTCCTTTGTTAACACAGCTGTTTAACCAGGCATATGCTATAAAGGGAGTTTTAATGAGGGAAAGGGATGTTTGCTCATGATAAAGCATGAGATTAGGAAATAACGCATCAGCTTTTCACATAAGGAGCCCATTAGTTCTTCTGTTGAGCTACTTCTAGCAACATTTGGGTCACATCTCATGGGACACAAGTGCTGTGCGGGCTTGGCACAGTGGAGTCTCTCTGGTACCTTTCCAGAGCAGAGATCAACTGCTGCTTTTTCGTGAGCATCAGTCATAGAAAAAATCACAGAATCATAGAATGCTGAAGGTAGGAAGGGACCTCTAGAGATCATCTAGTCCAACCCCCTACACATGCAGGGTCACCTAGAGCACGTGGCACAGGACTGCGTCCAAGCGGGTTTGAAGATCTCCAGAGAAGGAGACTCCACAACCTCCCACAGGAAATTTGCAGGAGCTCTGCTGATCCTTCAGGTCTTTGCAACAGGTGCTCATAGGTGCCTTCCCAACCTCCTGGGCACTCTGAATTTCTTCTTTTTTTTCTCTTTGGCAACATTTGATGCTGAATGCAAACAGATGTGCGAGCTGCGTGCAAATGCAAACTGAAGTGTAAACACATTACACTGAAAACATCAATTTATCCTTACTATAGCTGGTATAATAAATATATCATTTGGATAAAATAGAAGGTACTGTGTTCCTTCTCCTGCCTTAGTGTCTTTGTCACTGCTACAATTTCTTGTGAGCAAAGGTCTTGCAAAGAATCTTGTATTACCATGTTCTTTGTTGTTTGTCCCAGCCAGGGGAACTTTCATCACCCCATCCATTCTTTTTCATCTCAAGAATTCATAAATTGTACATAGGCAAATCTCCCAATTCAGCACAAAAAATTGCCTTTTAAATTCTGTTTTGTTAAAACCTAATACCTGAAAATTAAAACAAGTGTTTGCCAGCTATGGTATTTTTGTATTCTCATAAGCTTAAAGATTCCTCTTGGCTGATGCTAAACTACTTCTGTAATGGTTTGGCATCTCTAGTAAGAAGCATTATTTTTGAAAGACACTTCAGCCAGTAGCAAGACCTACTGCATGAACCACTGCATTTTGCAGCTTTTTAATATTTAAATGTTAACCTATCACTTCAGGAGGCTGTAGCTTAATAGCTGAGGGTGGGCATACCTCATCAAGAAGCATATCTGGAATTTAGTATGGAAAAGCAAACAAAAGTGCAAAAGTGTTGTTCAGATGAGTGTAGAAATGTCCAAACTATAGCGCTGCCAGAAAACAGGATGAGGAATTTCTGTTTTGAAAAGGGGAGAATATTTACGTCAATATTACAGAGCTGCTAAGAGGTGTTATTCTAAATGTGGGCTAGAATTTAGGGGGAGAAAAATGTGGGCTTATTTATGCCAACTAATTTGCCTGTCCCTGATTTCTGGTACCCTAATAGAATCGGACCCAATCTTTGCTCCTCTGATCTCAGTCCAAGTGTCTGTCTTGTGTCTTGCTGGTGCAGGCCAAGGTCCGGGAGCTAGAGGAGAAATGCCGGACACAGAGCGAACAGTTTAACCTCTTGTCCAAAGAGCTGGAGAGGTTTCGGCAGCAAGCTGGGAAGATCGACCTGCTAAGCAGCAACACGGTGGCATCCTCAGATATCCCTGGTTCGCCTAGTAAATCCCTCTCCCAGTTAATGAACGGAATAGCCACTTCTATAGGCAAAGGTAAGGGGGGACATCTTCACTGTAGGAGTCCGTCTGCTTTCAGGTTTCAAGCTGTGATGCCTGGATGTAGAGTTGACCATGAAAATGTGAGGGTAGAATTTGGTCTTGAGCCTGTTTCGTGACAAATTTCATGGTATTTTATATGAATTCATTAAGATTGTTCAAGTTCTATTCAGATAGGCTGTTGGGTGTGCTGGTGAACTCCGTTCAGAGTTAAAATAAGGTATTCATTGTGTAAACATCTCTACCTCTTGGAAGTGGAATGAGTGTCTACATGCACAAGATTGGTTGGAAAACCTTTGTTGTTTCAGCTGCAGCAGATGATCTGCTAATTTGTTGAAGTAAGCTTATGGGGACATAACAGAAACAGAAAAAAATGGTAGGTAGAGCTGGCAAGGAAAACTGAATGAATGTTTTTAACACATATGAATATATAGTTGTGTTAGTTGAATTTTTTAAGCATTTTTTTCAGCACTTCTCCATAAAAACATGACAGAAAAGAAATCTAAAAAATATTTTGAGAGTACTCAAAAAACACTAATTCTATCACAGACCAGTTTGGGCCGAAAAGGAGCCTCATGGCATATATTTTAACAGATTTACTTATGGATAACATCTATTGACATATACTAAAGTATGGAAAGGCATGTTTAAATTAGTTTTTGAACATTTTAATTACAAGATATTTCAAAAATACAGTAATATTGATTTGAGTTTTAAAAGAAACAAAGACTGTAATATCAGAAAAATAAAATTTATTTACATCTGATTGGTTTTCCTGTGCCTATAGCGCTTAATATGTTCATCTCAGTGTGTGGTTTTTGAAGATCTTATGTTGACCTTTTGCCAGGTCATCTCCTGTTTCCAAAGACTACGGTTCCTGCTAAGTGTACAAGTCTATTTATGGTTCATTATGCTTAAGAAATTCTCAAAGATCAAGGCAATGCATTGATCAAGAGGTTACCTGAGGACAAATGTTCTCACATGTAAAACCCATGTTAGATGGTATATAAGTACATAATTATCAGCACTGAAGAGCGTGCTTGTAAGCACATGATTCTGTACAGGAACGATTGAACGGAATAGAATGAACTACTGGATCTGCAAAGGAACATTCATAGTTGCCTATTAAGAAATTTCTGTTGCTTAGAGTTTCCCCCCAAATTGTTTTAAAATAATTATGAAGCAAAACCAGATATAGTTCTGAGTACTCCTGTTTTTTTTTTTTTTTTAATTTCGTCTTACTAAGCTCCTAGAAAAATTCTGAGGGTGTAGGGCCTAGAAATCACAAATCATTTCCCTATCATTGCAGATGAGCAGTTATTTTCAATGAAGGGTGTTAAACTCAATGTGAAACCAAGTTGAAAGCAACCAAGATGACATCCTTCTTTTGTTTCACTTGAGTGACTTTGTATTTGGTATGGTTCGGGTTTTTAAGCACAAAATTCCAAGTGCCTGTCTATGGTGCATGCTAGTTTGTAGGTTCTTCTGAAGCTGCAGCTGTCTCACCAAAGAGCATTAAATGGAAATTGAGAAGCCATTACATCGTAGAGATAAGAAATTAGTAGAAATTTCCTTAATTACAACAGGATTAGTTCCTCTTTTCTCTCAAGACAGCATTTTTAAAACAACTAATTTTAAGGGAAAGATAATTTGGAATTGAAATCTCCTTTTGGCAGCTTGTAAAGGTATAGTCTCCATCCTCTACATTTATCTCAATAGGCCCCAATCTTCAGCTGAAGAACTAAGCTTTCCAAGCTCCTGAATCAAACTCTCCAAGCTGCCTAATATTTATTCTGTAAGTACTAATAGGAACAGCTTTTAATAAAACCTTAAAAATGTAACAAAACCCTCCAAGAAGTCTTTGACTCAAAATAATTAAACACAGCAAGATTTGTGCTAAAGTCATTTAAAGGCCTTGCTATGTACAACTGTTCTCATAACCTACAGATATTTATGCTACTAAAATTCAGAGCGTGCAGCACCGGTGTATAAACATTCTGAAATCCTTGGACAATGCTCATATGCAATATGAATGCACTGATAACACTAAAATAATGTTTAAGCAAGTGGGCAGGATTTTAAATTATTGAAATCAACCCTTTCACAATAATGATGGCAATGTTACAAGTCGTCAAACCAGAAGTGTAATTATTTTTATTATGTGTGAGAAAGAAAGAACACAAGGAGAGCTTTCAAAGCAAAGCAAATGACGGAAATGAGCTCAGTTTATGACCAGCTGCTTTGCCTTAATTTGTGATGTTTGAGTGTATCAGGAAATGAAATAAACCTAGCCAGAACAGATTAGAGTGCAAGAAGATCACTCTAAATATATAATAATGTCACAACCAGATACAGAAACCTTCAAGATTTATTATGTATCAGATAAGGGGAACATATAAATGGTGGTCTTAGATAATTTAGGTAGTTTGTAATGAATCAGTAGTCCCATAAACAAAATGGAGGGTCTAATTGAACCATAAGTATGGTCAGTTTTAATTCTGCCTCAGACATTTAAATTAAATAGTCTGGAATTCTTCCTTGCCTCGCTCCTTAAAAGGGTGTTCTTCAGGCTTCATTAACAGACTAGCTGCCAGTCCTGCCAAAATAATGGTATTTTTTTAAAATTCTTAACTTACAGTGCTTTCCAGAGTGTAACTATGGAAGGAAAGCTATGTGTTTTCCTTAGTTTCCTTTAGTTTCTAGCAGTCTAACAATTCTTAATTCTTACCACCATATTCTTCATATTCTCCATAATCATATGTTCAAGTTCAGGGAAATTGCTGAAATTGCACTGGAGGAAGATGAGAACTTAGCTTTATTGCAGATATAATAATTCTTCAGAACTGCAGTAATTTTTAAGCTGCTTCAAGAAGTAGGTTAAATTGTGGTCCCAGATAAAAGCTGTCCTGCAAAAGCCTTAGAGGATCAGTTCTGTTATTTCACAAGCATTTTCATAAAGACACAGGTGTTGATGGCAATCTAGTGTAGCCCTGATGAAGTAAATAGGAAATATTGCATTGCACAAGTAGACCAATACATAGAGAAGCAGAAGATGTTAAAGGAAGCAGTAAATTCAGTTAGGTAAACAGATCCATTTTGCCTAGCAGATTTGGGGCAAAAACTCCTTTTTTTTTTTCATATGTATAACTAGATATGGATATAGACTTGCTGAGATACGAAGCGAAGTATCTAAGAAGGCTGATCTTGCTAGCACCATCTGGAACCATGCAAATGTCCAGCACATGGTGCCAGTCTGTTGCCTAGATAGTGTCTATGAAGGACCCAATATGAATATTCTGTTTTTTGTTTTACAGACGAAAAAAATATATATAGCTGAATATTTCCCTGTGTCTTCCTATTCCTGAAGTTCAGTCTTAATACTGTGGCTTTCTGGCCTTGTCATCATCCTGTATGCTATGCAAAGCAAGGGGAAAATAGTCCAAGAATCTTTCTCCACATTTTGTGTCTAGTGTGACTAATTTAATGACAAAGCCTGAGAAGCCCAGGAGGCATGAGACCCAACAGCAGTTTCTTTTGAATGAATAATCACAGTTGGACCAATTAATTTATAGGCTTGGCACTGACAGACTGGTATGGCAAGCACAGGTTTCTGAACGGGCATGACTTTTCTGTTATATATGTGAGAAAGATTCCAAGAATAAAAAAGTGTGCCCTTTTCCAGTCTGGGGATTGCTGCAAGCAAGGCTGGTTATAATTTAGCTTTTGTATGATGACTTGTGTGTTTCCTGCTGTTAATGTGCTTAAGCGGCCGTGCTGTAAATTACAGCGATGCAGAGAAAATTAATCACGTTGGATCAAGGAGTACACCAAACGCTCTAATGATGTGTTTTGGAGCTCATTCTACCCTACAGTACTAGTAAAGAGATTCCAGTGATGATTCCTGGTGGCATGTGTCTGGGATGCTTGTACTTCCAGATTTCTGGCAGAACTGGGGAGGGAATGCTGACCCTACACATGTTCAAGGTCTGAAAAATTAGAGTGTGGATTCATTGTGTGAAAGAGAGGAGAAGGTGCCCATGGGTACGCAATTGCATCAATAATGCCCAATACTGTGTCATTTGCTGTAACTTCTGCTGCTACTGCACATATAATTAGGCTCAGTTTACAATTTCCTGCTTGTTTCTATGTGGTTTGAGGACTAACCTAACAGAGGGAAAAAATATGTGGTGTTTTATATACCACTTTTATTAGTTGCTCCTGAAACCTTAATGAGGTTCTCTTTACTTGCTTCCCCTCATCATTAGGCCAGGATTCTGCTTGAGCTGATAGATTAGAGGGTGCAGCCTCTTGCAAGGTTCTTTCTTAGATCCTTTAAATGTGTTATATGAGCTAACTTTTAAGTGCTTTTAAAAAAATCAATAAAAATATTAAAACACAAGTATTTCTGGAGTTTTTTTTTTGATTTTTTTCATAGTCTGTTGCCTGTTTTTCTAATTGATAGCAGTTATTTGTTCTTGTGTGTATTTTGTTCACTGACAGGTCATGAAAGTCCTTCTGGAAGTCGGTGTGTGATTTCAGAGTTTATACGACCCCTGCAGATATCTGGAGACAAACCAGAACAACTGTCTGTCAAACCCACATTCCTGCCCAAGTCAAGATCTGGTAGCACAAGATGCAGATTTGATTCAGACGTGAGTCTTAAGTTTGTTTCTGGCAATGTGTGTCATGAGCTTAGGACTTCCTCAGGGGACCAATAAAGGGAGACCCACTTGCTTTTAAAAAGCCAAGAGGTGGAATGTCTGTGTCTTAGACACCTTGGCAACACGATGAGTAGGAATTTAACAGAAATTTTTAATAGTTAGGCCACATGAAAAATGAGTATGTGAGATCCTCAAGCTTCTTGGCAAATCTCAGCCTTTCATTAGGCATTTGAAGAGTTTATGCTGTGTCATAACAAAAAAAAATGGAAAGAAACTGGAAGAGCAATCCCATGCAGCGGTGCATTCTGCAGGACCTGTTTTTTGCTCAGTTTTCATGATGTGTGAATCTTCTTGTTACAATTAGGCTGATACCACCTGCTAAGAGCAGTTTTCAGCACACTCTTCTAAATTGTTTTTGAGCCTATACCCTGGAAGTGAAAGTTAACATTAGTTAACATTTTTGAAGCCTTAATAGGCGGTTATTATTACTCTAACTCGGTTCTGTATGGGCAGAACAGGCCCTGTATATAACAGGCCCCGTTACCTATATAAAATAGAGTCCTGATGCCCATACTTACTCTTTATGAAAATGAATAAAGCTACAACTGCATGCATGTCTAGCTAATTTATATTCGTTGCTACTGAACCTTTGAAAGATGATGGAATCAAAATGTTTTCAAATGGTTACAAGCCTGGGAATGGAGTAAGATATTCCACAAAATATTAGATTCCTGTACAGTGGACAGTCTTCAAGGATACCTAAGGATTTGTCCACAAATAAATATATATTTATTGTTAGCAACATGGAAATATTTGCTGCTTTTTGAAGAGGCCACAAAAAAAAGAAGCCCAGAGTAATCAAACTGGAAAAGGCAGCTGAGCAACGAGGTTTAGGGAAGCAGAACTAACTGCAAGGAACAGGAGAAGTGCACGTCAAGTTTAATTCCCTTTTTCTATTATTTTTCAGTTATCTCCCAGTGAGACCGTCAAGCCCTCTTTTGCCAAATTGCTCCTTGTGTGCTTTCTTGAGTGTTATTATGTGACGCATACTTATATTATTCGAGCTCACAGGAATTCAGCTCCATTCTTTTTTACAGGTATCCAGGACCTAGCAGGAGAGTGTGTGAAGAAAATCATAAGAAAATAGTCTCTAAAAACAAAATCTAAAAATGGGTCTCAATGCTGTGATGTGTGAAATACAAAATTATATTGTGCAAAACTGCTTCCCGATTTGCCTGATTGTTACTAGCAAGAGTGGCCTCTGGAGAAGTTATTATTGGTTTAGTTATGAGCATTGCTACGTGCCCTTGAAAAGACATCGGGAGAATAACCCTGGAAAATGTTACCTACACCCCCAAACGATGGACATAGAGAGAATATCTGTTAGCTTATCCTCACTGTCCTCCAGTTACCATTCTGGGAACCAAGCAGAGACCATTTTAAACCTGGAAGTCATAGTTCAATCTTCACTCTTTATCCGGATTTTGAAATTAGAGTCCATTTTTAGACAACTTATCTATTCGATCCTACTGTCAAGCCTAATTTTTCTTCCTTAATTAAAGTTCTCTCAAACTCAGGGGGAAAGTTGTTAATTTTTCCTTGAAAGGCTCATAGGAAACTGTAAAATAAGTGGAGAGAAAAAACACATCTGTCATTTAAAAAAACCCTCTGTGTATTGGATGACAAATGGGTAGATTTTATCTGCTACTCACTGGCTGCAAGTGTGTGCAAGCTGACACTTGCAGCAGCTCAAAAGTTTTGGGTTTGTTTAAAGTACTTAGCCATTGGTATTTGGGTACTACTGTTGTTTTCTTTTTACAATGTTAGGGTACCATTAGAGGTTAGCTGTGTAATCAAATAGCTGTGCTAAGTCCAGAAACACGAAGACTTGTCATGTATAATAAATAGGTCAGCTTGGAGTAACTGACTTTACTGTAACAGAGACTTTAATAAAAGTTCAATGAGAAGGGCAAAGTGGTTGCTGAGGTTTGTACAGTTCAGTCATGCCCAATTAATTACGGACCACTCTGCAGATGGGTCAGTTCTGAGCTTTTGAGAAAAAACCACATCCGGAATCAAAAACACAATCTGAACATGTACCAAAAGACTGAGCAACTATCTCAATTTCTTTGAGATGTTAGAATCTAATTTGTGATTCCATTTTAGCCTAAACATTTCTAAATGAGATTAATAATTTTTGTTCCGTGTCACAATTTTTTTCTTTTAATGTTGCATGTCCTGTCATTTTCATCACGTATCAGAATACTAGCGCATGCATCTTTTTGAAATCCCATTGTCTCTTTTTTCCTGTACAGATGGATAATGATCGGAATTCCAATACCTCAAAGCAGAGATATTCTGGGAAAGTCCATCTTTGCATTGCCCGTTATAGGTAACGTAAACAGCTTCTTATATATGTAGTATGTATTTGTAGTATTCAACATTTTGTTTTATTTTTATTCCTGCACCTTTTGTTCATGGTCATGCCATTCACAGTCTCACAAGAATATGAATTTAATTACATTGTAAGAAGTTTAATCTATGACTGTTTTGTTTTTAGATATAACTTACTGCCTTTGTCTCTATTGAACTTGTCTTTGTTGAAGTTTATTAACTTGTGTGAAAATCTGCCATACAAAAATGAATGGAATATGTGGACTGTCTTGTCCACGTGTGAGTGAGTCATGTGCAAGTGAGATTTTTGCAGTTGTTGTTTAGATCATAAGGTTATGTCTGTGTGCATTCAGAGAGACCTGTGTGAGAAAGTGGGAAAATCATAAATTAATCATTTGGAGAAGGATGTGACTTTAAGTTCATAGCACTTGGGTGAATAGGTTGTGTTTCATGGCAGCCTGTTGCAATCCAGTTATGATTCATAATATTCACCTAGGCATCTCTCAAAATATGTATTTCCAAGGGTAAGCAAAAAGACTGGATTTACCTTCCTATGCAGAAATGTACAGCTTCTTTTTTTCTGATTAGTATTGAGTTTTGTGGGGATTGTAAGTGAACACGTGTTTTCCATCTGTGGACCATTGCAGTTACAACCCTTTTGATGGACCAAATGAAAATCCAGAAGCAGAGCTCCCCCTTACAGCAGGAAAATACCTTTATGTATATGGAGATATGGATGAAGATGGCTTTTATGAAGGTATTGTTTTGAATCTGTAAATACATGCTAATTGATGCAGATTAAAATCATTTCATTTGTCAAACACACTACCAATGCTTTTCTTCATCTACTACCAAATCAGTTGCTAAAATTACCCCTATCTTATTTGTGTTGATTATCAGCATTTCTGTACCTGCAAGCATAGCTAATTATAAGACGTTTTAAATTGTCAGCTTTTTCTACTTGCAAGATTTAAGTTGGCAAGGAAGCTTACTGAAAATTATGGCTTTTGCCTCAATGTTCCTTTACTTTCCCGAGCCATGAATCCAACATATGTATAATTTTCACCTATATCTTCTTCCTTTCCTCCCCACTTATTGCAAGGCATTGCCAAAAAGTTACATTGGAGCTAGGAAACTTTTCATGGTTTCATGCCAGTTGATTAATAGCATCAAAGTGGTTGTTTATTCTGCAGACCTTTTTACTCTAACTTCACCCTTTCCAACTTTATTCTCATAGCTTCAGTTTTCTATTGGCATTCTGTAATTCAAGGCCAAATCACTTCCAATTTGATCTTTGTTGGTTAAATAGCCACCTCATGACCTGTAAGTTTTTTTCTGATATCAAGACCGTTCTTTATTTAAAGCAATGGTGCAAAGTAATTTTAAACAAAATGAAAGAAAACCAACAGTCTAAGCAAGGAGAAGAGTTCTGCTTTTTGTTAACCTCTTCTTCAACAGGAAACATGCAGTTGAAGTTATCATGTGCATCATAAATATGGTTTATGGATATGGTAGATTATGGTTTACTTCTTTTAAGTGGAATTTTAATCCATACATAGATTTAATTCTTAACCAAATTAAATGGATACAATTCATCTTATTTGATGTACTTCAACTAGATAATATCATTTCTCAGAAAACAGTTAAGCCAGTAATGAAAGAAGTCCTTTCTTTCAAGGATGTTAATGACACTGTAATTTCTTGCCAGGGGAACTTCTAGATGGACAAAGAGGACTAGTCCCTTCAAATTTTGTGGATTTTGTTCAAGACAATGAGACCCGATTGTCAAGCGCTCTAAGCAGTGAACAAGATCAGAATTTCATCAATCATTCGGGTCCTACTCTGGAAGGAGATCTCCTAGAGATAAGTCCACCAAGTCATATGGACTCTAGCGTGATCAGCAATGGCGCAGGGACTCTGGATGTGAATATAGATGAAATTGGAGAAGACATTGTGCCTTATCCTAGAAAAATCACCCTTATTAAGCAACTAGCCAAAAGTGTCATTGTGGGCTGGGAGCCACCGGTAGTGCCACCTGGATGGGGAACCATTAGCAGCTACAACGTGTTGGTTGACAAGGAAGTACGAATGAACATAGCCTTGGGAAGCAGAACTAAAGCTCTTATAGAAAAGCTTAACATTTCTGCCTGTACATACCGAATATCAATTCAGAGCATTACAAACAAGGGTAACTCAGATGAACTCCAATGCACTTTGTTAGTGGGGAAGGATGTCATTGTAGCCCCTTCTAATCTGAAAGTGGAGAACATAACCCAGATTTCTGCTGAGCTCTCCTGGCTCCCTACAAATAGTAATTACAGTCATGTGATTTTTCTTAATGAAGAAGAATTTGACATTGTCAAGGCTGCTAGCTACAAGTACCATTTTTTTAATTTGAAGCCCAATATGGCCTACAAAGTGAAGGTTATGGCAAAGCCCCATCAGATGCCCTGGCAGCTTCCCTTGGAACAACGAGAGAAAAAGGAAGCCTTTGTGGAATTTTCTACATTGCCAGCAGGTTTGATTATTTTTCTCCCTTCCCCAAAACTCTGTAGTTCAGTTTTTTATGCGGCAACAGGGCTGACTGTTACAATTAAAAAGAGAAAGAGCATAGAAAAGTGTCTTTAATGTCCCAATTCAATTAATCTACATTGTGAAAAAAATACATTTCAACAATGATTTTAGAAAATGTTGGGAAAGAAATGAAGATATCTTGCTTGACTTCCGTTATTGTGCTTCTCTAGGAAGATGCATGGGGGTGAGTGGTATAACATAAGCATTTAGTTGTAGTGAATGTCATGTGGAGTAACCAGGGCATAGACTGCAGGGGAGTTGTTTATCTTGGGGAGGATAGAGGAGATTGCCATTTTCACTGAGGAAGCGGATGAATTAATTATTAGACACAAGATATGGGACTGAATCAGATACATTATTTCTTGTAAACTGAAGAGCTCTTCAGGATTAGGGTACCTGGCTTTCCAAAAATAGACTTGATGGGCAAGCTGAAATGGAATCATAAATTACTATACATGTCTTGGGCAAGAATAGTATTAGGTTAGTTTGCATGCTTTGGCCGTGCGAGTCCAAAATGTCCTGTAAGGGGAAAGGATTGTACAGGCAAGAATGTGATGATCTGCCTTCCCATGATCCGAATTGTATTTCAGTGCCCTCTACAATGTCAGCAAACTACAGATCTGTGCTGAGGGTTTGCCAGAACCTCCCAAGGCTGCCTTGTGTGATATTGGCTGTTGTACCCTTCTTTGTGCAGTAGCAGTAAATGCACACAGGTGTCGTAGTTGTAGCTTTTTCAGTCTCGGTAGATGAACAGGAATCGTTTGTGCTAAGTTCACTGGCAAAGACAATTTCACAGCAGCCAAAGTTTGTCTTCTCCCAGTTGTTATGCAGGGGTGGCCCTAGCTGACCCCTGCATTTGACATGTTTTAGCATGATACCCTCCTCCCGGTTTTGTGTTAATAAATACAAAACGGTGCCTGAAATATGCCTGAATGAATAATTTCTAAGATCCCTTTACTTCGAGTTTCTGTCCAAGATTATTTATAGTAGGATAATAGTGGTTTTTAATTAAAGATGAACATAGTGTGCTATTACAGTAAAGCACTGTAAATGCCTTAAAAGACCAGCACGCTTATTTTTTTTCTGCATTTCAGAGAAAAGACTTTGAGTCTGATTGTCCTTTATACCAATATGCCGCTGACTAAAAAGGTTACAGTTGCAGTTCCAGTCCTTTTGCACTGTCAGATAAATCAAAAGTATTCACTGTGTATACGGCACAGAGTTATATACCAAAGACGTCACTTGCAACAATTTTCCATTAACATAGTGCCACTCCTTGGCACTTTTCTCACTGCATTTTTCTGTTAATGTCCTGCATTCAGAGTAAGTTGCCGCTATGCAGCCTACAGGGATAAAATTAAGTTTAGTTCTGCAAGTACAGAACAGCTTGCAAATGAATATAGCTCAGTTAATGTGTATAGTCTGAGGGTCAGTTCTTGGCTCCCTAATCTGTGAAGTGCTCATATGCTTCTGTTTGTACCTTATAACTGCAATAAAGATATTTTGTCACTTTAAAAATAAATATACAAGTTCTTTGTGTTTGCAACGTACAGTTGTGTCAATGGACCTGCGTTTTTCTGATCTAATGCTGCATCGTGACCGCACTTTTCTTTCTTAGGACCTCCAGCTCCACCTCAAGACGTTACTGTCCGGGCTGGGTCCACACCGGCAACTCTACAGGTGTCCTGGAAACCACCAACTCTGACAGCAACAGGGACCTCCCATGGTGCCAACGTCACCGGCTATGGTGTTTATGCGAAAGGTCAACGGGTGAGTCCTCTTTCCAGCATTGCGGTGACTGACTGCATCGGGTGAATTTCCATTCACAGGCAAAGGCAGAAGTAATGGTGTGCCAGCCCTTGAATGTGTGCTTGTTTTTTCTGGATTTCCCTAGAACCCCTCTAGTTGATCTTGTATAATTTGATCATTATCTCCCGTTCTATAAACACTTCAGGGGCAAGTAGGCCCAAATGGTGTTAAGTGATGTGGAGCCCTAATGGGCTTCCCTCTCAGTACTGGCAGCAATTAACTCCATATTAATACTTTGAAGGCCATGTTTTAGTGAGAGCAGGGGAGAAAAAGTGGTGCCTTCATGCTGATAAGTTGCTTGTTTGTGTACTCAGGTGGCAGAGGTGATCTTTCCTGCAGCAGAGAACACATTGGTGGAGCTAATGAGAATAAGGAACTTGGAAGCAAAGGAAGTTACTGTTCGAACGCTCTCTGCTCAAGGGGAATCTGTGGACTCTTCCATAGCTGCCATTCCATCTGACCTACTGGTGCCTCCAACCCCTCACCCTAGAACTGCTCCCAAATCTAAGCCATTAGCAAGTGCCGGAGTCCCAGAAACCAAAGACGAACATTTAGGTCCCCATTTAAAAATGGATGAGTCATGGGAGCAGACTCGTTCGGCCTCCCCCGTTCACGGACACACGCTCGAGCCGCCTGCCCCAAACTTCCACGGGGGGAGGAGGTCTCCGTCACCCAACCGAATACTCCCTCAGCCTCAAGGCACGCCTGTCCCAAATACTGTCGCAAAAGCCATGGCAAGAGAAGCTGCACAGCGAGTGGCAGAGAGCAACCGGGTAAGGGGAGACATCTTCCTATGGCGTTTTGGTCCTCTGTACTCATTGTGGCATTTTCCATACAAGAATGTTTTATTGTGTATATCTTAATGAGCAGTTACTCCTTCCTGAAGGGGACCAGTAGTTTGGTGAGGAGCAATGTGATAAACTTCTGTAGAACCTACCAGAAATATGCGCCACATGGTGCATTTATCAACCTTTGGTCAACTCCAGAAACCTGGTAGCATAACCAGAAACATTACTTTCAAAACCTGGAGAGTCTTACTACTACTGAAAAAATGGCAATAGATCATCAAACTGCAAACAATTTGTATCTTTCTTTGCATTGAGGTAATAAGTGCTAAGCTGTCTAGATCTTCTGGTAAACCTCTGCCAAGAGACAAGTTTCATTATTGTCTTCCTTATGCAACCTTTGCCGGCAGAATTTTTGTGCAACTCTGAAAAGTTAAGGCAAAAAGCTTGATGGAAAAGAAGCACTACCTGCCATGTGCTAATCAAAACACGTTAAGGAATACAGTGTTCTGGATTTGGCAGGAAGGTGACATAAGCAGTAGATAACTTTTCTCCATAAGAGAGTTCAAACACTAAATAAAACCCTCACTGGCCCATTCCTTTAAGGGGATGATACTGTGTCCTGTAGGAATACCTTGCCTTCAGCAGTATTTTGAGGTAATAGTGATACAAGGGAAGAAAGCTATGAATTGAGTTGATGGTCACATAAAAGCATATAGATACTTGTGAGTGAAAATAATACTGTAAGCACAAAACTCCCCAAAGCACCTGAGAGGTTGCAGTCAAGAGAAACAGAAATTACTTTAAGCCCATGAATATATTTAAATGCTATATTCTTTAGTCCTTAAAGCAAGGTATGTGAAATACTTATGTCTTACATTTGCCATTTCTCCCAGTGCTTGCAGGAAGAAGTCTGCTTCACAATTTCCAATTTTCTGTTACTTTTCTAGATGGAGAGGAGGAGTGTGTTTAGTGAGAGGAGCAATGTAGCGCAGTATGCGAACTCAGATGATGAGGAAGATGGCTATGATTCTCCTAATATCAAAAGGAGGGGGGCTTCAGTTGATGATTTCCTTAAAGGGTCAGAACTTGGAAAGCAAGTAAGTAGCCTGGTCTTGTTGTTCAGGTCAACAAATGTTTTTCAAAGCTCAGTAGACTGGGCTGTCCAGAGCACTGTCTGGCTCAGGTCTGTATCTGCAGCATGTGCTATTGCTGCACGTGAAAACATGCTGTGAAGAAAACAGAAAAGGGAAAGGATTTTTGTGTTCCATAGAAGCCAGAACCTGTAATACTGATTAGCAGAAAGTGAACAGCATATATACTTGACGTGCTGTAAGGAAAAGAAAAATATTACCAATTCAGGCCAAGATATGCTAAAGAGCCTCGTGACCCTTTTAAAAATATCTAATGTTAAGAGTGTTTAGAATGGACCAAAAAAGTCCACATTTGTTTTACTGCTAATCATACTTCATAGATGACATTGGTAGGTAACCTCAGGTGCATCTGCAACGGGTGCAAAGTAGCTGCTCCATATGTCCTTAATACTTTAGGTCGTTAAAAGGTGGCTGGGAGTGTTTATAGCTTCAGTCTGCTTTACTGATTTTACAAAAGAGAAGTTTGGACATGAACATTTGATGGCTGGGAACCTTTAGCATTATATTCCTTGAAGATTAAAAAGACTAAGCTCTATCTTCTGTCTTCTATTAGGTATGTCCTCAAAGCTAGATTTGAAATAGAATCTCTCTGAAAGCATTCTCAAATCTGAGTAGGATTTAAATTTAGATTTCGTGTAAGACTGAAAGAATTCCTTATTGCTGCCCTTAGAGGAGCAATAGTTAAATCGTCTAGCTCACAGCTAGACATAACAGCTGTTGCGTGTTAGATTATTAAACATTTACTTTGTAGCTTATAAGATGGATCTACTTAATCCACTTGTAGTTTAATAGCTCATCTGCATTGGTTATGAAAGATGATCACTTTTACTGCATGTTTTTTTAGTAAAATAATTTTTGGATTTTCTGTAGTAATTCTAACATTTGAAAATATACCAGGAATCTTTTCGTGCTCGTTTAGAGAGTGAATGCATCTTTTCTTTGGAGAAAATGCTTCTTGTAGACATTTTCTTTCCTGAGATTGATTGCTGGCATCATATTATATGGTTATGGAAATTGATCAAGTACCACAGAAATTATTTTTTCATTAGTATTGTTGGGGTAAAGTGCAGTAATTGCTGGCATTCTGATATTTTGCTGCCCAGTTCTTCAGATATTCTGCTGCAATCTGTCAGTCATGTACCTCAGTCTAAACATTTATCCTTAGACAATTTGTTTAGTTTGTTAGATGAAAGTTCTGGCTAAACTTTCCCCAGAACTACTATTTAATAGTAAGATAATGTTTTTATAATAAAAGCCACTCCTATATAACAATAGCAGTTCAGTAGGGTGTACTTTTTCCTCCTTATATTTCAACTAATTGAAATCATTGAAA